CCTCCCTCCCTCCCTCTCTCCCTCCCTCCTTCCCTCCCTGGTGACCTGATCGAGTCCTTCTTGCTGGTAGCTCTGGTGATTGACGTCGAAGTAGAGGTAGCGCCCTGGCAGCGGGAGGACGAAGTCCGAGTACTGCACCGAGGCTTCCTCCCCGTTCAGGACCTGCGCAGTGCCAGGAAGGAAGGAAGGAAGGAAGGAAGAAAGGGAGGGAGGGAGGGAGGGAGGGAGGGCAGACATGTGGGAGGCGCGACAAACATCAAGTCAGCGAGGAGCCAAGGAAGCTTCTGGCAACACCCGTTCCTCTTAAATCAGGAACGCCATTCAGGATCTCTCGATGTATCGATCCATCCCCCTATCCATCGACCTAGATCCACGCCCGCCCTGAACGCACGTACCGCCAATTGCGTCTCGTGCGTGAGAAAGGAACAGAAGAAAGTGGCGGAGCACCCAGACTCGAAGAGCAGCTCGCCCGAAAACTCGTAGGGGACACCGTCGGCGTTCTCTTTCAGCACGCAGCCACGAGCACGGACAGGGAGGTACCAATTCATAGCCCACAGGGTCAAGCGGATGTTGTACCATCTGGACCGGGGGAGGAAGGGAAGGAGGGGGAGGAAGAGAAGGAGGGGGAGGGCAAGGAGGGCTCAGGATATGACTATTGCGGCGGGGCTTTGCAATTCGAGAAGGACGACGCTGGCCGTGATAACCACGTCGCTTCCCCCCCCCACGCCACATACCCCAGATCTCCTAGACAACCCAGCGGCTCCGTGGCACTGGAGCATCGGATGTTGCTCTGAAAGAAGGCCTCGTTGGCTTTGAAGCAGAATTCGCTGTTGATACGATGCAGGGGCCCCAGACTTGGCAAGGTTTTCTGCAGGAGCTGCAAGCGCGCCGAATGCATGAACATGACCCCGTCCATCAGGTGGACATTGTGCTGGAGGTGAAGGAAAATGCGTACGGGGCGGGGGTAAGAGAGGCGACCAAATGGAGATCGCATGCACCGTCTCAATCGGCCTTGCTCAGTAGGGCTTATCTGCCTCCTGCGTCATTTTTTTCGCTATACATACCTTGATGCACGCCTGGATCATTTCTTGTACGTCCTCCGTGTTCAGACCCACTGGTTTTTCGACCAGTACGTGCTTGCCACTCGCCGCTGCTTTTAGCACCCATTCCTTCCGAAGCGCGGTCGGTAAGGGGATATACACGCATTGGACGTCGTCCCTGGCCAACGCCGCTTCATAACCCTCCACAGCTTCAGGTGCTTGAGGAAAAGGCAGCAATGCTTGGCATTCGTCGATGAATGCTTGCGCGCGTGCGGTGTCTCGTGACGCAACACAGACGACACGAGAGTTGCCGCTCATGAACATCGCTTTCCACAATTTACGTGCAATGCTCGCACTCCCCAAGATGGCATACCCAGCTACATAATCATCCGCCGCATCAAGAGAATGATGACTGCTGAGGCGTCGACGGCCGCTTTGTAGATGGTGGTGAGTGCTCATGTTACCTTGTGATGAAAAACGAAGTGGGAATGAGACCGCTACAAGCTGGGCTTGATTACACGCCAAACAACAAACTAATACCGATGCCATCATTCTCTATGATCCTGTCATGCAACCTGCATAATTTCCACATGCTCTCTTCAAGCCGTCTGAACCGAACAAGATGTTGGACGAAAGAAATACCTGCCCATCGGTAGTTATGCTGTGGCTGCAAGCTTCGACAGTGCTTCAAGTGTTCCGCCGCCCGCTCTCGCTTTTTTTTTCTGATTTTTTTTCCCCCTTCTTTTTATTTTTGGGGCCCGCTTCTCCGCTTTAAGAGAGAGGATTAATCACGAGAAAGAAACCTTTTTTACTTTTCGAACTCAATTAATTGGTGTTTGCTCTCCTATGTCGTACACATGGGATCTCCGCGTCACGGCTGTCCAGGTATCGTGTGTTACACAATTACTTTCGTTTTTACATTTGTAAAATTCCTTTAAAGCGCTATCACCATCGCGTTAACATTCTGACGCCTCAAATTTAAAACTACAATCGTAATTATTGCTCAAATCACCAACCGCATCTTTTCTTCTCGGACATTCTCACTAATACCTCCTCTGAACAAACTCTCCTGTTTGTTCCATCCACGTTCTCACTCCCTACTCCATGCCCGCTCCTTCCTTTAATTCCTGGTCTGAGACCACATACCGCTGACACCCTTCCTCGCATTCCTCTATCCCACCCTCCTGTAGATCGAGCAAGCGCCCTGCTTTCAGGCTGGCCTTCACCCACTCGACATCCACCACCCATTTCTCACAGGCATAATGAGGCCCTCGACGCAATTCTCGTTTTCGCGCCAAAATCAAGGAATACCGTCGTCGCTCCTCTCGGTCCACAAGGACGTGGGTCACGTTGGCATGCAAAGAGGAGGAGATTTTCGCGCCATGCAGTCGGAGCAGGATTACTGCCGCATCCAAGGTGGTGAAGGGCAAAGCGTGCCTTTTTCGTCCTTTGGCTTCTCTTGTCCCTACTTCCTTGTCATCCGTCGCTTCTTCGTCGTCTTCCTCCCCGACTGGCGGAAGCACACGTCCGCAGTCTGCGTAGCGATCGGCATAAATGATTTGACGCGGCGAATAAAAGGGCACTACCCCCCGGAGGATGGCATCCTCGTCGTCCCCCCACGCCCCTTCGCGTACATGGCACCGCCAGGCCCCAGACAGGGAAGGACCACGCGAGGGAGAGAGGGAGGGCATCCGGGCAAAGACCTCCTCCAACCTGCTTCCCTCCCTCGGAATCCAGGGGTCTCCAAACCCGTCCACAAGACCTTCCATCCGTCGCCGGGTCCCACGGGCCATGCCCACGTAGTGCTCGTACCGAGGTTCGATCCGTCGGCCGGCCCCAAGGCACTCCACCATCCAGTCCACGACCAGGATGTCGATGCGCGCCTCCCGCATCGCGGCTTGGGTCCTCAGGCACGGGCGACCGGCGGGGACGAGCAACACATCTTGCTCGTACCGCCGGGGCTGTGGCGGCGACTTGCTTATGCCTGGCGAGGGGGACCTTTGGATGTCCATTCCGTATACTGGGGAGACAAAGGGTGGGTTGGGGTGGCGATTGCCCTCGGACGTGACCGCCGGGTCGCCTCCTCGCCCTCCTTCCACGCCACCTGCTTCCTCCTCCCCTCCCTCACCACCATCCCACGGACCCTTCTCTATTTCCATCAGATTCGTGCTGGCTTGCCCCCCTTGCTCCACGATCACACGATGCAGCTCCTCGAGCGAAAACCAACCCTCCTTCCCGCTTTCCCTCACGCCCTCCTTCCCGCTTTCCCTCACGCCCTCCTTCCCGCCCTCCTTCCCGCCCTCCTCTAAGCCCACGATTGCCCGGGCATTGGGAAGCCTCGTCGTGAATTTACTTCCATAGAGACAGATTTTCATACCAGCAAACAGAGACCCCTTCACCTCCGCCTCCACCATGCCCCCTGGGTTCGCATAAGCCGACACCGGCACCCACCTCGCCCTCCTCTTCCTCCCTCCCTCCTTCCCCTGGCCCCGGCCCCGTTTCTCCCCGCCCTTTGCCGCGTGGCCGTCCTGTCTCCCCCACAACCCGCCCGGTCGCTCCCGCAAGGCCTGTAGTTCTTGCACGGTCATGACCCCTGCCAGCGCCTTGTCGGGCCGAAGCCGGGTGATTCGGGGAAAGCGGAGCGTCCATTCCACCGAGTACGACCGACTCGGCACCATCTCCGCCCCTTTGACCGACATCACCACCATCGGTGCGTGTCGCACGTCCAGCCACAGGGCTGGAATGTCGACGGTAGCCGTCTTCCAGGGCATGATCCAAGGAGGAAATTCCCTCCCGGGGCCGCCTTCGATCCAGTGCGCCTTTAAAAGGTTCTGGAGCTCCTCCCGCTCCCAGGTGTTGAGCCCAGTCGCCACCCTGGCAAAGGTGTGGAACCTCATGCCCTCCCATGTGCCTCCCCCCTCTTTCCCCCCCTCTTTCCCCTCCCTCCCCTCCGCCCAGACACCCAAAAGAAAGCGGCTGGGGTACCCCCTCCACCGTGCGCCGTCCTTGTAGTACCCCCCCAACAGGACCAAGTCCATCTCGTCCGTCACCTCGGCGTAGTCTGGTTTCAATTTCACCCAACCACCCTTCTCTCGACTGATTTTCTCCCCGTTTTCTCCCCCCTGACTGCTGTAACGGCTGTCGAGCCGTTTCAGCATGAGTCCTTCCCAGCCATTTTCGACGGCATGGTCGTAGTAGGCAGAAAGGGCCTCCAAGCGAGCTTCCTCCACGCCACCGTCCTGACCTTTCCTGCCCACGTCGCGGGTAGATAGGGACAGAGGTACCTCT